AACTTTTGAGGTCAGGATTGGCATTACAGTTCAGCGTTTTATATATGTATAATACAGATGAGAGAATGTACAGTGACTTAATATCTAACATATTCGGAGATTTGAGTAGGGGTACCGAGTGATGTCTGGGGCCAGAGTTGGATATTGTCCTAATAGCAGCTTTGTGTTGAGTAATTAGAGGACGTAAATGATTTTGGGTAGTAGAACCCCAAGCACATATACCATAGTTGAGATAAGGATAGATGAGGGAGTAATAGAGCGTCACCAGGGCATAGCGGGGTACATAATATCTGATCTTAGAAAGAATGCCAACAGTTTTTGAAACTTTTTTTGATATATTTAGAATGTGTCCCTGGAAATTCAGCGTCTGGTCAATGAGAACGCCAAGGAATTTGCCATCTAATTTGTTACAAATTTGGGTATTGTTTATTCTGAGATTTATTTGATTAGAGGATTTATTGCCAAACAGAATATAGAAAGTTTTGTCAATATTAAGGGTGAGTTTGTTGGCCGTTAGCCAAAGATGGACTTTATTTAGCTCAGTATTTACTGTGGCATTTAGAGCAAGGGGGTCAGGACTGGAGTAAATGAAGGTTGTGTCGTCAGCAAATAGAATTGGTTTGAGGTGTTGGGAGGCATTTGGAAGGTCATTAATGTAGATGAGAAAGAGGAGAGGGCCAAGTATGCTGCTCTGAGGAACACCGATGTTGATGGGTAGGGTGGGAGAAATTGAATTATTCACAGAAACATACTGGAGCCTGTCAGTAAGGTAAGATTTGAGGAATTGCAGGGAGTGTCCTCTGACCCCATAATGATGTAATTTAAGAAGAAGGTTTTGGTGGTTGACAGTGTCAAAAGCCTTACGCAGGTCCACAAATAACCCAACAGGGAACTCTTTTTTATCAAGAGCTGCATGAATCAAGTTAATCATACTAATAAGTGCATCGTTAGTGCTTTTTTTGGGTCTGAAGCCATATTGACAAGAGCTAAGTATATTGTGTTTGGCTAGATAGGAGTAAAGCTGCTTGCAGATTAGTTTTTCAAATATTTTTGACAAGTTAGGCAGGATTGATATACGTCTGTGGTTGTTAACATCTGTGAGATCACCACATTTGTGGACAGGGGTTACTCTCGCTTTTTTTAGAATATCTGGAAAGTTTTGGAGTTCAAGTGACTTGTTGAAGAGCAATGCAATAGCAGGGGATAAAGATCTGGAGGCTTTTTTGTAAATTTAAGTTGGTATCTCCTCAAGGGCACTAGACTTGGTTTTAAGGGAAAGGATTATCTCATTAACGTCAGTGGAATTAGTAGGCTTTAGGTTTAGAGACTGTGGATAGTTATCTGTAAGATAGTCCTTAACGTCAGTACTGGAATTCTTTGGCTAACTCATCAGTTGCAGCGTGATTACTTAGCGTATAATCATCATCATCATCATCATCTAGCCATGAAAAATATACTTAGCTCTTGCCAATATGGTTTCAGACCCAATAAAAGCACTAACGATGCACTTATTAGTATGATTAACTTGATACATTCAGCTCTTGATAAAAATGAGTTCTCTGGTGGGTTATTTGTGGACCTACGAAAGGCTTTTGACACTGTCAACCACCAAAACCTTCTTAAATTACATCATTATGGAGTCAGGGGTCACTACCTGCAATACCTTCAATCTCACCTTACTGACAGGCTTCAGTATGTTTCTGTGAATAATTCCATTTCTCCTATCCTACCCATCAACATCGGTGTTCCTCAGGGCAGCATACTTGGCCCTCTCCTCTTTCTCATCTACATTAATGACCTTCCAAATGCCTCCCAACACCTCAAACCAATCTTATTTGCTAATGACACAACCTTCATTTTCTCCAGTCCTGACCCCCTTGCGCTAAATGTGACAGTTAATACTGAACTAAATAAAGTACATCTTTGGCTAACTGCCAACAAACTCACCCTTAACATTGACAAAACTTTTTATATTTATTATATTTTGTAATAAACAATATCCAAATTAAAAACAAAGTTGATGGTAAATTTCTTGGTATCCTCATCGATAACAAGCTAAATTTCCAGGAACACATCATAAGTATAGCAAAAAAAGTTTCTAAAACTGTTGGCTTCTAAGAAACTGTTTTCTAAGATCAGATATTTTGTACCTCGCCCTGCCCTGGTGACGCTCTATTACTCTCTCATCTATCCTTATCTCAACTATGGTATTTGTGCTTGGAGTTCTACTACCCAAAATCATTTACGTCCTCTAATTACTCAACATAAAGCTGCTATTAGAACAATATCTAACTCTGGCCCCAGACAGCACTCGGTACCCTTACTCAAATCTCTAAATATGTTAGATATTAAGTCACTGCACATCCTCTCATGTGTATTATATATTTAAAACTCTGAACTGTAATGTCAGTCCTGACCTTAATAGCTTCTTAGAAGGATGTAACAGAACCCATGGGCACCTCATCAGAAACAAATATCTATTTGATATTCCAAGAGTACTACTTAATCAAACTAGAAATGCTTTACAAATCAAAGGACCCAGAATGTGGAATTACCTTCCCAATCATGTCAAAGGCTGTACCTCTCTCAACCAGTTTAAGATAAAAACTAAAAACTACCTAATAAACTCCATGTAACTTACCTTACCCCTAAATGTCAACCCATGTCTTACAATTTTAAACAATGCTGTTTCAATTCAATTTCTTTCTTTATTATGCACCCCATACCCATCCCGTGGGCGGTGGTGTAAAGGATTACAGAGGCACAAAATAGGTTCAGGAACTGAACCCTCTAGTTATCTTGAGTTGATTTCGGGGCTTTAGTGTCCCCGCGGCCCGGTCCTCGACCAGGCCTCCACCCCCAGGAAGCAGCCCGTGACAGCTGACTAACTCCCAGGTACCTATTTACTGCTAGGTAACAGGGGCATAGGGTGAAAGAAACTCTGCCCATCGGTTCTCGCCGGCGCCCGGGATCAAACCCGGGACCACAGGATCACGTGTCCAGCGTGTTGTCCGCTCGGCCGGCCGGCCCCTTAACATGTACATAGTTCGTTTAGCTAAGCAAATAGCAATCTTTTGACGCTAGTTACAAAATTATTAATGTTATATATACATGTACACATACTCATGCATACATGTACTTATACAAAGGGGGGTAGAAAAAGCCTAAGCTACTCTATCCCTTTGAGATGTATTTCTTTCTTATCTCAATAAACATACTTGAACTGTACATATACATACGTATATATATATATATATATATATATATATATATATATATATATATATATATATATATATATATATATATATATATATATATATGTCGTACCTAATAGCCAGAACGCACTTCTCAGCCTACTATGCAAGGCCCGATTTGCCTAATAAGCCAAGTTTTCATGAATTAATTGTTTTTCGACTACCTAACCTACCTAACCTAACCTAACTTTTTCTGTTACCTAACCTAACCTAACCAATAAAGATAGGTTAGGTTAGGTTAGGTAGGGTTGGTTAGGTTCGGTCATATATCTACGTTAATTTTAACTTCAATAAAAAATAATTGACCTCATACATAATGAAATGGGTAGCTTTATCATTTTATAAGAAAAAAATAGAGAAAATATATTAATTCATGAAAACTTGGCTTATTAGGCAAATCGGGCCTTGCATAGTAGGCAGAGAAGTGCGTTCTGGCTACTAGGTACGACATATATATATATATATATATATATATATATATATATATATATATATATATATATATATATATATATATATATATATATATATATATATATATATATATATATATATATATATATATATATATATATATATATATATATATATATATATATATATATATATATATATATATATATATATATATATATATATATATATATATATATATATATATATATATATATATATATATATATATATATACGTATATATATATATATATATACGTATATATATACATATGTATATATATATACATATACATACGTATATATATGCCCGAAACGCTTTGCGTAATAGTGGCTTTAGGCATTGTATGTACTAGCCCTATCTATAAATCCATCACTCTTTGTAAAATCTCTTGTATGTATGTACCTTACCTAAATAAACATTTGATTTGATTTGATTTGATATATACATACACATACATATTTAATCACCCACACAAATACACACATCAATAATCTTTAGTGTCACAAGTGATCAACAAGAGGCTCACAACAGTCACTATACAAGGCACTTTACATCTATGGTGAGTCACACAGTTACTAGTCTTGCTCCACACCCACCCAACTGGGCGGCAGCTTTACAGTCATGTGCAGGCTGCACCTACAGTAAGCAAATTTTGGATACTTCGCTAAGATTTCGGGCAGCACATCATTATGAATGCAGTACTTATACATTTCTTGGACACTATTGATGGTGTTATCTCTAAATTCCGCGATTTTTTCACATTCCATTATACAATGCTGTTTGTTGACCAACTTGTATAATTGCTATTTTCTGCCATGTTCCTCCCCTTTTCTTATATTTTTTTTTATTTTTTCAACATAATTTATACCTTAAGCTCAATTACTATTAAGTTTTAGTCTAAGTGTCCCCCCCCTTACCATGCCCGAAACGCTATGCGTACTAGTGGCTTTAGGTATTGTATGTACTACCTCTATCTTTAAATCCAACATCATGTTTGTAACTCATCTTCAATATATGTATCTTTACCCGAATAAAAAAATCTAATTTTATCTAAAATCTAATCATCATCTTTTTTTTTTGTTAATGGAGAGATAGAAGGTTCGAGGAATGTTAAATACGAGTTATATTATCTAGCTTTAAGCAATACAATTTTATGCAGTGTGTGTTCTTCATAACACTCTCTAGTATTACAACTTACGGGTATTATATTTAGAGTATACTTATATTCACAGTTGCATTAATGTTAATATTATTGGGAAGTAAGTGAGGCGGGTGGGTGTGTGTGAGGCGAGGTTAGTGAGGACGACTCAGCGCCCTCACGCCTCACCTCCCTCATCATTATCATCAGCTGTTGCTGCTCCTAATCCCACGACGATAACATCATCATTATTATCAGCCACACAAGTAACATTTAACAACGTAGTGAAGAGTCAGGTCTTGTATGGGACTAGTCAATCCGGATTTTATACAAGACCAGCCGAGCCTGGTCTCGTACAGGACCAGCTGAGCCTGGTCTCGTACAGGACCAGCTGAGCCTGGTCTCGTACAGGACCAGCTGAGCCTGGTCTCGTACAGGACCAGCTGAGCCTGGTCTCGTATAGGGCCAGCTGAACCTGGTCTCGTACAGGGCCAGCTGAGCCTGGTCTCGTATAGGACCAGCTGAGCCTGGTCTCGTATATGACCAGCTGAGCCTGGTCTCGTACAGGACCAGCCCAGCCTGGTCTTGTATATGACCAGCTGAGCCTGGTCTCGTATAGGACCAGCCCAGCCTGGTCTCATATATGACCAGCTGAGCCTGGTATCGTACAAGACGAGCCGAGCCTGGTCTCGTATAGGACCAGCCGAGCCTGGTCTCGTACAGGACCAACAGAGCTTGGTCTCACCCAGGTCTTGGATATGACCAGGCGAGTCTGGTCTTTCATAAGACTATGTACGCCAGGCCGTATAGGCCAAGGCAAGCCAGATCAGTCAAGATAAATTCTTAAGTAGAACCAGGCAAGCCCAGTCTTCCATAGGACTAGGGGGGGTACCAAGTCTTTCATAGGAGTCTGGAGGCACTACCAAGAATCATGGGCGAGCTACAGGACCTGTTTCAACATTTGGTTCTTGAAATGAAGAATTTTCTGTGTCAGGTACTGTAACAGTTTGTATAGCTGGTATATTGGATGTACTCTACGGTACATCTGGTATAGCTGGTATATTGGATGTACTCTACGGTACATCTGGTATAGCTGGTATATTGGATGTACTCTACGGTATGACTTATTAAGTAAAAATTTCAGAAATGTTTTGATTTTCCATTTTCAGTGACAAAAAGCTTGTTATGCTTATTGATGTCCCATAGACCAGCAATCCATCAACTTTGTATCTTACCTTGTATGTATGTACCTTACCTGAATAAAAATTTATTTATTTATTTATTTATTTATAACAACAAACCTTCCTTTCCTTGAGAATGAGAAACCTGTACATATACAGGACACAAGAACAAGACACAGTCAAACTCGAAATATATTTTCCTGAATTTACCTGTATATTACAGTATATGCTAACTTGGTAAAGTTGCTAGTCTTGAGAAACTTATTGTTGTTCTATAAACAATAGCTGTGTTAGGTTTATGACAAAATTTATGGTATAAATTACAAGAAATGTTCTACCAAATGGTGCTAGAATAAATGCTTTATATGCAATATCTACAGAAATATTGTAAAACAAAAAAAATGGTGGACTCAGAAGTTGCATTTCACTTTCCAAGTGTTTGGCCACCCTGGTGCTGATCTCCAGACAGGGACTGTCACCAATTTATAAGGGAATTTTTACATAACTATGTATATTATAGTCCATAATATTACTAATTCTTGGGAATGATGCCTAAGCCACGCATCAGTAAATGAAGACAGGACAATGTTTCGGTCTGTCCTGGACTTGATGATGGTCCATTATGGACCAAAATGTAATTTCTTCATTTTCTGATATATGGTTTCGACATCATATCTTCAGCCATGTTATTGTGACTCGTCTGCTCTTTGGAATCACTTAGCATTAAAATCTAATACTGTAGTAGCAGCATGTGTCAGTACTCTTTAGTGGTACAGTACTGTATTTCATTTTGTTTGGTGATTTTTTCTTTTTATAAATGTGTGTCTGTAGATTAGAAAAACACAGACACCTATGTTTGGTAACTAATTCCTAGGAAACCACTGACTGTTATCTAGCTTATGTAACTCCATGCCCAGTCCATGTTACCATGAGGTAACATGCTAGACATGGTCATGTCTAGCATGTTACCTCAAGAAATAAAGGCCTATATATATCTTGAGGAAATTAATAGAGAAGCAGGATATGAATTAGATCAAATCTACAGTGATGTATCTGCTAACTCTACTAATGGTAGGGCTGGAGCAGCATACATTATAATCAGGAACAAATTAATAAAAATAAGGACAAAGCAGGAATTGAGAACTATGCCTCAATTCAAGCAGAGCCCACTACTGTCGTCATGACATTAAGATATCTAGAATAGAACAAGCAGGGGAGAGCAGTAATCTACACTGACTCAAGAGTGGCACTACAAAGCCTCAGAAAAGGTCGAGCAGAAAACAGGGGAATAGTAGCTGAAATCAAGATAATAGTGATAATGCTATTGAACTAGGAAAGGAAAAGAAAGTATGACTATATATTTGCTTGATACCTGCTTGATGGGGTTCTGGGAGTTCTTCTACTCCCCCAAGCCCGGCCTCTTGACTTGTGAGGGCTTGGTCCAACAGGCTGTTTGTTGCTTGGAGCGGCCCGCAGGCCCACATATCCACCACAGCCCAGTTGGTCCAGCATTTCTTGAAGAAAATCATCTAGTTTTCTCTTGAAGATGTCCACGAAAACATTTAGCACATGAAGGATGATCCAGTTTTTGTGGGTTCCCTCTCATGTTGAAATTTGTGGGAATAAATGAGCGGATGGGCTGGCTGAAGAGGGTGCTGAAGAAGATCATAACTTTAATCATTATAGATGAAAAGGAGGGGGCTGAAAGAGGGAATCTGTAATGGTAAGCATTAATTTTGGATACAAGATAGTGCCTGAGAGTGTTCATGTCAAAGAAACATCAGAAATACCTGTAGTATAATAAACCCCACATTTATTTATTTAAATACAAGAAGGTACATTGGGTTTATTAGAGTACAGAGACTTGAAAGTTTTATATTCTTGTAAAGCCACTAGCACGCATAGCATTTCAGGCAGACATTGTTTGAATTAGGAAAGCCCTTTTATTTTGTTTTTAAATATAGATACTGTCTGCAAAAGGTTACCCCACTTTGTGCCTGCAAGATAATGAGAACCTTCAGGGTTACAAGATGTCAATCCCTTGTTTAACAGTTAAGTCCCAGCTGCATCTGTGTACAAGTGACAGTGAACAATCCAGCGAGATTTCTTCCTTTCCCGGGGAATGTTGTACATGCTGCTATGGTAGTATGTTCGCTCAGGATGAGTGATGCTGGACAGTTATTTAGGACTCCAGGGCAAAATTAAATTTTGCAGCTCCTGTCCAGAAACTGGCAACTTTACCCCAATTCAACTATAATGAAAAATGCATAAATTTAAAGAATGGAATGTAATTCCACAGTAGACTATATCAATATTCATTGTCATATTAAAATATATTATGTTATACATAATTATAAGATATTATTTATTACAGTAAAGCATATTACATACCTCTGAAAAAGAGGACTTTTCTTGACAGTTCAAATTATTCATTGCATGAGTGATTACTTAACTAATTTGTACAAATATATAAAAAAGACTATACAAGTCCCTGTGATTTTAATGTGGACGTGAAATTGGAATGATATTTAGTAATTTACATTAATTGCAAGGCAGCTTGAGCTAAGAGTAGGCTACGCTTCCTCTGGCCTAAATTTAAAGAATGGAATGTAATTCCACAGTAGACTATATCAATATTCATTGTCATATTAAAATATATTATGTTATACATAATTATAAGATATTATTTATTACAGTAAAGCATATTACATACCTCTGAAAAAGAGGACTTTTCTTGACAGTTCAAATTATTCATTGCATGAGTGATTACTTAACTAATTTGTACAAATATATAAAAAAGACTATACAAGGCCTGTGATTTTAATGTGGACGTGAAATTGGAATGATATTTAGTAATTTACATTAATTGCAAGGCAGCTTGAGCTAAGAGTAGGCTACGCTTCCTCTGGCCTAAAAGTCATCATATTTTCTTGAATACTCTCTCAAGAAAATCCTGTCTCGTTTCCAGGCACAGGCAGATGGTCAGGTAGTGAAGTATGAGCTGGAGGTGGTGGTGTCGGCATGGCAGCCGAGCACTCCCCATGTGCCCTCCTACAGTTCTGCCTTCCACAGTGCTCTTCTTAGCTTACTACATGTACTGCAGGTTAGATCTTTATCACTGCTGTATTTGAAAATGAATGGTATGATTGACTCTGGTATTTCCAGTGCAGTATCCATTATAATACCAAGGAGGGTTTAAAGCCATTCCACATGATTAGTTCTCCAAGACGACTCCCAAGTCGCCTAAGTTAAAGAGTCTCTATGCAATAAGTTGACAATAAGTTGTGCTCTCGAAATTTTGTATATTTTTTGATACACAATATTTATGTTCCATGCTGCATATTGTTAATACAGTATATGTAGTGTATTTTGTTAATTTTGTTAATTAGAACTTTTATAAACATGCCATTAGCTTTTTTGCTTTCTTACACATAACTTCATGCATGATTTGTCATTTTTCCTTTGCAGGAAATTAGTAACCGCTGCAGTTCTCCAGGCTTAAAAGTTGTTAACCCAGAAGCAAGAACCTACTCTCCACAGCTTCAGTCAAGTGACACAAATGTTTGTCACAACTTGGAGAGAATGTATGCAAGCGAAGTCCAGTGTGAAAACCATCTTCCCATAGCACCAAATCAGCAACACCCAATTCCAGTAGAATACATCATTAAAGATGTTTCAAATGAACACATCCCAGATTCACTGGTAAAGCGCTTATCACCCCAGCAGCCAACCACGAAAGAAACAGAAGCAGCTAATGTACTTATGAATCTATCAGGCAAAGCAGCGGACAGAACAAATCAGACGAGATTGGATTCGGGTCTTTCTACCTATCACGAGCTCACTATTCCTGATGTAAGTAAATCATCTTTGTACTTATTATCATCAGGAACATTAAACTCTAAATGTGAATCGAACATTATCAAGAGAGAGTATTCTTTGTGTGATGAAGTTCCTCAAATCAATGAAAAAGACTTGCTGCCTCTTGCAACTCAGGTACTCTGTCAGTATTGTTCACAACAATGTGAAGACTTGGTCGAACTTCATGAACATGTCTTAGCTATGCACAACGTACCTGAAACTGAAACACCATTAATGCCTTCCAACAAAAAAGTGAAAAATCTCTCTGAAGATGATGATGAATTCCTCAGAAGGCTCAGTGATGGTAAAAAGCAAAAACAAGACAAAATTGAATCGAAGCAAGATATTGAACCAAAGCAAGATGCTGAAAACCAAATCAAAGAATGTTCAAAAGACTCGGCTGTTGTGCTTCCCACAAGCACCTCGTCTGACGTACAGCTGACCAAAAACAAGCAGTACACAGAAGAAAAGAAATTAAAGAGAAAACAAAAATTAAAGAAGGAAAGTAAACCAAGCAGCAGCTGGATAATTTATGAAGTGTCTGATCACCCAAATTGTTCGCTGGGGGAAGAGAGTGAGCAAACCAAAAGTTATGTGAAGGAATGTAAAAACTCACCTCAGATGCAAAACACTCCTGGGTCAGAATTACCCACATACAGTTCTCATGAACATTTTGTTCAGGAAAGTACTACACCAGAAGCCAGAAATGATAACTTTTATGATAAAGATGAAGAATGGCTAAAACATAATTCGGGTGAAAATATAACTGAGCTCACACCAGTAGGAAATGATGCTCTGGCAATGGCTATAGAATCCTCACAAATCAGAGTCATTGAGGCAAAAGTAACTATCTATGTGTGTGTAAAGTGTAGCTCTGGCTACACTGATGCTCAAGAATTTAAGGACCACATCTGTCACGCAAGTCGTCCACTTGTGCAGACTTGTGCTGATGGGTCTGTGACACTGGCGTGTGACACAAGTGTTTGCGAGGATCGTATCCAGCTGCCAGAAAGTAATATGTGGTATTTTCCAGAATTTTGTATCAGACGACCTGCGGAAGATGAGAAAAGTGAAATTCGAGGCTTGCAGATCATTCACAATCCCTCAGGAAGAAGAATACTGCTACATACGCACTACCAACCTGCTTATCTCAGTGAGCAGCTCATTTCTTTCAGGTCAGCATTATCCTTAGGGCAAGTAGTGTTAGTTAAGAGAAATTTCAACTGGAATGTACTGTATATAGTGTACAAAATTATCTTAAGAAATTTTCATTGTAATGTGTAAGAAATATGAGTTTCTCTGTTTACTTACTTGGTTCCTCAGTAAGGTAAAATTCAAGTCTATTAAACAGTATAACTGAGCAGTCATGCAAATGGATATTGTGCACTGTTGCCATAGGTCATTGCAGGGTCATATTGGTGCTAGGGAGACACTGGAGAACTTTCAGTTTTGCCCAGAATGACTTTTCATAGGATTATCAAGTTGGGTCATTCACAGGAGTATTGAGACCATAATCTATGTCAGTTTGCCACAGGATCATATACAGTGCAGCATGGCAACACTGGGATTGACAACAATAAAATTGTTCATATATTCACTAAAAAATAATCAGATGCTAAGGAGTACTAGACAATAATTCACTCCAGCTACAGATGACTGACAGAGATTGAATCGTAAAGTGACTGCTTGGTGACAGTCACTGGAGGTAGGCACATGGGGGCAGGTTGTGGTTAATGTGGGTGCTCTTACTGGCATTCACTTGTGATGCCTAGGAGGGCTTGCAAGGGCTTTACTTTTTATCAGTTAACCTTCTGGAGGTCACTTTACACTAGAATGTTCTCCATTACCTTTCTAGCACTAACGTGGCCTTGAAGACCCATGTGAAATGTTGATGTGTTTGACTTTTTCCTGATCCTGTACACAGATTTTGGATCTTATCTTGAAAAGGAATTAGGAATTTTTTTTCATAATGAAACTTTTCATATTTATTTCCCTTCCTTCTATCCCTTCCCTCCATACCTCCTCCCTACTTCAAATACATTTTAAACTTTAATCCACATCCCTCAACATTTAAGCTGTGCGCTCTATTTAACCTCGGACCCTCTACAGGTGTCCCACTTGTGAGAACGACTCTGATAGTCTGGGCAGATTCCTAGAGCATTTAACTAAAGGTCCGTGCATGTTTTGGTGCCCTGAGTGCAAGTTGGTGTACATCACGCAGGATAAGCTACAGAAGCACAGAGCCTCTCTTCATCCCTCTCTGGAGGTAAGACGGTGGGAATGTAGTCATTTCTTGCATTGCACAATGCACAGGAATGTGTTATCTCTATGGGGAAATATTGAACCTGTGCAGTGGAGCTCGAGGATATAGGTTCAATACCATTGTATGGCCTCAATATTTTCTCATCTGTTGCATTGTTCTATACAATATTTTCCCTTTAAGTAAGATCCTCCAGTAAAGCAAAAGAAGATTCAGTTTGTTTCTTCCTTTGTAAATAGAAGCTTGATGGATTTTTTTAGCATTCATTCAGGTTTTACACAAACAAGGATTTTATTGCATTATTGGGTTAGTTCTTGTTTTAATATACTGTATATAGCACAGAAGTGATTTTCTGGAGGGATTGAACAGTGGATCCTTGAAGCTAGCTTGCTGAGGTAGGATGATATGACCCATTGCTGAGTCAGGTCAGCCTTTAAAAGAGTCCTAAATGGCCTACTGGGGATCAGAGTCAGAACCTGGGTTTCCCTCACAGGATTATGATCACCAACACCAAGAAAACATTCAAAAGGTAAGCATAACAATACAGACAACTACATAATTCACAGAAAGCAAAGCTCTGACACAGCCAAATGATTCTTTCAGAGACTAGTAGAGTTCCCCCCCCCCAGTTACAGCTGGTCACCAATAGGTGGCAACACCACCAGGAGCTCCGCTTCCTAGTCATCCTAGCTTCAGTCCTGCCCCTTATTTCTGCAAAACTGGACCTCCCCAAGTCAGCAGCTTTGGTTAGCCCCAGTTTTCTGGGGGGAGCCCCGTCGGCTCCCAAGAGCTTTACCGGCTGATATGCTAATGTCAGATTTTGGCATCAGTCATGTGTATGGAGTTCTAGGGCCTACCGGGGACCACGGCCAGAACCTAGCCCCCTCAGAGAGGCAAGGGGAGCAATGGCCTATAGAAACCCCCGTGTGGTTGGAAGCATTCTATGTCTGCCATCGACCGGGTCAAGCATCCAGAAAGGTAAGCATTCCAAAACAAACCCCTATTCTGGTGAAAATTGCTACCTAAAGCCAAACTAGTAGATAGAACTCTTCAACAGAAAACAAGGAAACTAGTATGACGTCATATGTCACCGCGCCGCTGTCTGCGCAGCTCCCCCCTCCCCGGGAGGGGGAAGGGGGAGCCCCAGACCTCCCACTCCGGCTATCCACCCATCAGTTCTTCGGCTGATGCTATAGGCAACGGTTATGTGCTCCGGCTCCAGTGGTTGTTTCAGCACTGTACCTAGAGTGTGGTGTCTGTTTTCTAGGTGGTGCGTGAGCCGGGAGTGATTCTCCAGTACTCGGGCTGCATGCGCCTAGGGTTCCCTTCCCTAGGTGCCCTGTAAGTACTGCCCTTGGGGCTTGGGGCTTGGGGCCACCTTCCACAAGTTCCTTGGGTCCTGCCCCTGCTTGGCCATTTACTGCTTGGTTTTCGGCCGCTCTTTGTGTGCTCGGGTATTCTGTTTCCCTTGTTCGCCTCAGAGTAAGGGGCAGTTTTTGCACTGGTGGGGCGCAGGGTACTGTGCAGCTTGTCTTTACCAATCATAGCGGCCGGCTCTGTTCCGCTTGGGTACGCTGTCCTCTTGCGGGGTTTTCTTTTTCTTTTGTTTATCTACCTGGTGGGGGGGTCTGCCTTCGTTCTTGCTGCTCGTTGTTCTCAGTGTTGTTCCCGGGACTTTTCGGGGCTGTGGCGCCTTGGGTTGGCGTTTGCTGCCGGTTGTCTCGCCTCCTTGGGGGGTGCGTGGTGTCCGCCTCCCGGTTCTGTCCCTTTGACCTTCCTCTGTGGGTAGTTAGCTCCGGGGAGCCGACGGGGCTCCCCCCAGAAAACCAGCGTTGAATGTAATGAAACGCCATTTTCTGGGTGAGACCCGGAGGCTCCCCGGCAACCCTCCCTCCCTCCGGTCGGCGGTTTTTCGCGTGTTTTGACATCCAGCCTCAGAACTGATGGGTGGATAGCCGGAGTGGGAGGTCTGGGGCTCCCCCTTCCCCCTCCCGGGGAGGGGGAGCTGCGCAGACAGCGGCGCGATGACGTATGACGTCATACTAGTTTCCTTGTTTTCTGTTGAAGAGTTCTAACCCCTAGTTCGGCTTTAGGTAGCAATTTTCACCAGAATAGGGGTTTGTTTTGGAATGCTTACCTTTCTGGATGCTTGACCCAGTCGATGGCAGACATAGAATGCTTCCAACCACACGGGAGTTTCTATAGGCCATTGCTCCCCTTGCCTCTCTGAGGGGGCCAGGTTCTGGCCGTGGTCCCCGGTAGGCCCTAGAACTCCATACACATGACTGATGCCAAAGTCTGACATTAGCATATCAGCCGGTAAAGCTCCGGGGAGCCTCCGGGTCTCACCCAGAAAATGGCGTTTCATTACATTCAACGCTGGTTTTTTCCAAGATAAGTGTGGGCCATCTTTTGGACTCTGTCCTCTGGGAGTCATGTACTTAGTGTATTGTTTCCAGTTTTGGTATTTTCTTCATGAACATTTGTTTAAAGTTTCAAGCCTCACTTGTTTTGTGAACTTGGTCACTTCTTCACCTCAAGCTGCATGTGTTTAGGGCAGCCCTTCCCTAGGCATTCATTTAGCTTTGCCCCGACCCTGACAGTAATTTTTCTGGTGTGGGAGTTCAATCCTGAGAGACTGTACTGCTGTGTAGGGTGCCTCGTCCTATGTAGTGCATGGCTCTTTGATTTTCTGTGGGACCCTGTGGTTGGGGGCATTCAGGGTTTATTGTTGAGGGTTCCACTGGGGTTCGCATGCTTGTCTATATACTGCATGCCACTGACACCCTTTGTAGCAATGTTTATCATCTAGGCTGCATTTGGAGTTAGTTCTTCGATGAGCATTCTCCGTGCTTGGGTGTCCTGCTTGGTCCTTACTTTCAGATATTGGCAAGCTCTGCTGGTCTTTGGTGTGACTCATTATGGTTCAGTTGGCTGAGCCCACACTTGCTAATTGTGAGTTGAGGGTTATCCATCAGTTATGCTGCAAATTAACGATCAGTTTTACTGTTTTCCATTTGCCACCTGTTTGGCCGGTATTACTCCCTACCCTTCAGCCTGCAGCATTTGGGTTTGCTGCCACTCTATTGGTTCATTGGCTTGCTGGCAGCCTTCTGTTTTCCATGAGGACTTAGCATGACTTTTCCCCATACTCAGATGATTGTTTGGCAGATAATGGGTTCTAACTTTCAGGTGTTCTTGGATGGTGCTTCATTTGTGCCACTTGTGAGCTGCTTGCTTGCTCTGATTTTCCCCAAGGTCATAGGCAGGTGGCAGTTGCATGTCCAGCTGCCTTTATTTTTTGGAGCCCTCACTGTGGAGGGTCACAGGACATGTATACTCACTTGGCAGCCATTTTGTTGATCTGTCCTCTGACCAGCATCTTGGCAGCCTGGATGTTCTGGCATCTGTGCCTTGTAATTACCTAAATGTAGTTACAGGATGAGAGCTACGCTCGTGGTGTCCCATCTTCCCAGTACTCTGTCATATAGCGTTTTGAAACTACTGACGGTTTTGGCCTCCACCACCTTCTCACTTAACTTGTTCCAACCGTCTACCACTCTTTTTGCAAAAGATAACTTTGTAATATTTTTTGGCATCTTTGTTTCCTTAGCTTGAATCTGTGTCCTCTTGTTCTTAGAGTTGCTGGTTTCAGGAATTCCTCTTTGTCAATTTGGTTGACTCCTGTTAGTATTTTGTTAGTGGTGATCATATCACCTCTTTTTCTTCTAATTTCTAGTTTTGGCATGTTTAATGCCATGAGTCTCTCTTTTTGTAATTCTTGTCTTTCAGTTTCAAAAGCCATTTTGTAGCATGCCTTTGCACCTTCTAAAGTTTATGTACTTCTTGAGATATGGGCACCATACAACTGCTGCATATTCCAATTTTGGTGTCTCAAAATTCCTGAACAGTTTCTTTAGTATTTCACCATCCATAAAAACAAATCTGAAGTTGGAAAGCGACACATATACTTCTCTCACAATGTTCTTTGTGTTCCTCTGGTGACAGCTTACTATCCAAAACCACCTCTAGGTCTTGTTCTTTATTAGAGCTCTTTAATTCCTTTCCACATAATTTGTAAGTTGTGTGTGTGGTCTATTTTCTCCGATTCCACATTCTATATTAACCCTTAAACTGCGCATGGTGTATATATACGCCTGGGCCCGATGGTACCATAAGTTAAATTTTTCAAACTTGCTTTAACGCTTTCAAATTTTTTGTGCATAATCTACTAAGCAAACACTCCAACTTTGTCTAAATGATCATCAACGTAACTTGAAAAAGAAGATAAGTGTTATTATGCTCTCAGAATAGTATATAATCTTCATTTTAATAGATTTAGAATATAGATTTTCAGTTTAGTTTGCTGTAAAATAAAATTGTCAAGATGGCATTTAAAATATGCACCAAATTCACACAACAAAATTTATAACTCAAAACGTTTAGTGTTTATGAAAAATCCATCCTAATAGGATTGTAGAACAGACAGCGGCACACACTATATATGGAAATGGTGAGAATAGGTCAGAAACTGAATTTTTTGACGTTGACTCAATGTTGAAACTCTAGTTTTAGAGATAATTGAAGTTGAAGTTATTGACAATGTATAAGGTAGTTCTAATTCATTAATTTACTTGTATGTTTTAATAAACATTGTTTGGCATTCGTACTCAAATATGTGAAAGTTGTAGGTCAATATGTGTTGAAATGAAGGCAAGAAAAAACCCCCCCCCCCCCCCCACACAAAAAAAAATATATGGATAATTATAATAATTATAATGAATTAGGGGATATATTTAGGTATATTTTATATAAGTCAAACAGCCCTAATCTGGTCCCTAATCATCAAAACAATCTAAAGAAGCAAGAAAAATAGTGTGAAATCTGTGAAAAAATCAGCCAAAAAAAATTCAAAGTCCTAAGTTCTGCCAGTTGTGACTGATTTATTTGCTGACCAATTTAATTCTTTCTTCACATAGTTATGGAAGGGTATGCATTCTCCAGGATGTAGAGGTTACAACAAAATCAGATAATAAACAAAGAAGAAGAAAAAAAAAATGTGTAGACATTGGTGAAAGTAACAGGTTGTTCATTATTGAATAATGTATTTGTGTGATATATAACAAAATAGAGCATAATAACATACTCATTATTATATGTGTTATTATGTATTACTCAGCAATGCTATAAAAACACCAGCTGCATATTCACTTTGTGGACACTTCTAACTACTATTCTTCTTTGTGCATCAGACAGCTGCTTGCATTTCCTTATTACTTCATTATCCCCCAGTTCCAGTTAATAGGAAATGTTCTCCTTATCAACAAAACATTCTTCTTTTAAAAAATAATTGTCTAAAATCCATTTCTGAAAATATTGGGATGAAACTTTCACGACGCTGAAGCCAATAAGTTGGAGATTTGTTTAACATTTAATATTAATTTTCACATACAATAATTCAAATATATTTTCACCCAGCCCAAGCTTATACCCCCATTTACAGCCCAGGCTGTTGCATTGTAAGGGTTAAGGCATTCATTCACATTGAATTTAATTTGCCACTTGACACTCCAAGCATATATTTTATCTAGATAAATTTGAAGTGCATTATAATTGTCTGCATCTCCTGTCTTCCCCAGTATCTTAGCATCATCTGCAAACATTTTCATATAATCCTGTATTCCTTCTGGTAGATTGTTTATGTAGACGACGAACATTACTGCCGCAAGAACTGAACCTTGTGGTACTCCGCTAGTAACACTCCTATAGTCAGATACATTGTCTCTGATTACTGCTTTCATCTGTCAGTTAGAACATTTTTCATCCATGTCCTAAGTCTCCCCTGTCACCCCTCCATCATGTTCAAGTTTCCAGAACAGTCTCTTTGTGGCTGCCTTGTTGCCTGTGGTTTGGGCTTCGGTGGCTCTGCCCAAGCGGCTCATTCCCCACCTTTGGGTATTGGTAGCAGCATTTTCCTGACCCATTCTCTCATGTTGGCAGGCTGTGCTGACCTGAGCTTTAAATTCAGCTTGGTCTTTAACCCACCTGTCTGCCTTTCCCTCTTTTTTTTTGTGCTCCTTCTCTTTCCTGTTCCCACAGGCTCCCAGCCCCTTGGATGGGTCCTTTTGCAAAGGAGTTCTGCCTATCCTGTTTTGTAGTGGCCTTCTGGGTTGAGTTCTTGTTGGTTATTGATTGGGGTTGGCCTCCAGTTGGAGTCTGATTCCCAGATCCCCCCCTCCCCCCCCCCCCCCCCCACTGATTCAGTAGTGGGGTGGGGGGCTACCCCAGTGAGCTAGCTTTAGGGAAATCACCAAGGCCCTTTCAGAAAGAGATATTTCATTATATACAATGCTGGTTTTTCTAGTTTTCATGTATGTTCCATGCTTAATTTTGTGTAATGCTTTCCCCACACTGTTGCTCTCATGTTGAGACTGGGAAATATTGCTTATGTTTTTGCTAGTATTAGAAGTGTTGAAAATGTTTGTGGAACACTACATAATTTTATCTGTTCCTAAAAGGAAGGAAAGTTTTCCAGGATAGAATATAAGAAAAATTCAGATATAATAAGAATATGGTTCTAACTGAAGTCCCGTACATCCTTACAGGATCGCACATGCCCAAACTGTTGTATGGTATTTGAGAAGAGGCACCAACGAAATAGACACCTTAGGACTAAATGCTCTCAACGCCACATTTGTGTCATCTGCGGTGGAGTACTCAAAAATGAGTACAATCTCAGGGTTCACATGCAGTCTCATGAGGTAAGAAGCTGTGAAAATTATTTCTTCGCTTCCTTGAACCAGCAGTCTGTATGAGTCTACAGACATGCATTCCTCTCCATGCTCTGAGTACCTTTTTGTCCACCATAACCAGTTAAATTTTAAATAGGTTGATCACATAGTTAGGGAAGGAAGACAGTGGTGAATCTAGTTTGAGCCACCAATGAGAGACCAACTTACCATCAGACAAATGAATGAACATTAGACCTAACAAACCCACTCTAAACGAAACATCCAAGGTTGAATGTAATAAAACAGCTTTCTGTTGGGTCCCCTCAGTAACTCCTTGAGGCTAGTAGCTCCCTGAAGCCTAACATTGAGCCAGGCCCTTGTGAGTTCTAGGAACATCACAGGCACAGAGAGTCTGGGGATACTAGATCTTTGCTTTTAATTTAAGCAAAGTAATTTGCTTTTAATGAAATATAGAATAGGCCTGGTCCTGTTTTATATTTATTTGCTATCCCTTTCTCAAAATTTCTTTCTCCCTATCTCCTCACTGCTGTGTACAGTAGTAGTTTCTCGCTTCTTTGTATTGCTAATATGTTTGAAGGTTTGGCCTCTTCCTATATTGATTCCTTTTTTATGTCTGTCTCTAGCCCTTTCATAATTTCTGTTGCACCAATCCTGTTTCCTAGTTCTGCATCTCTGTGTTGGTATAAATTGTTTTGCCTTTATCATATATTTCACTAAACTTGACATACATGTGCACCTATCTCTCTTTCAAATAGAGAGAAAGATCTGGGGGTTGATATCACACCGAACCTGTCCCCAGAGGTCCACATCAAAAGAATATCATCAGCGGCATATGCTAGACTGGCCAACATAAAAACTGCCTTTAGAAACTTGTGTAAGGAATCGTTCAGGACCCTGTATACCACTTATGTAAGACCAATCCTGGAGTATGCAGCTCCAGCCTGAAGTCCATTCCTAATTAAACACAAGACAAAGTTAGAGAAGATCCAGCAGTATACCACCAGGCTCGTCCCGGAACTGAGAGGAATGAGCTACGAGGAAAGGCTAAAGGAGCTGAACCTCACATCCATGAAAAACAGAAGAGTAAGGGGAGACATGATAACCACCTACAAAATTCTCAGGGGAATTGACAGGGTGGACAAAGACAAACTCTTCAGCACGGGAGGGACACGAACAAGGGGACACAGGTGGAAACTTAGTACCCAGATGAGCCACAGAGACGTTAGAAAGAATTTTTCCAGTGACAGAGTAGTTTATAAATGGAATGCACTAGGAAGTGATGTGGTGGAGGCTGGCTCCATACACAGTTTCAAATGTAGATATGATAGAGCCCAGTAGGCTCAGGAATCTGTACACCAGTTGAGTGACAGTTGAGAGGTGGGACCAAAGAGCCAAAGCTCAACCCCCGCAAGCACAATTAGGTTATCTTGAGGTTATCTTGAGATGATTTCGGGGCTTTAGTGTCCCCGCGGCCCGGTCCTCGACCAGGCCTCCACCCCCAGGAAGCAGCCCGTGACAGCTGACTAACACCCAGGTACCTATTTTACTGCTAGGTAACAGGGGCATAGGGTGAAAGAAACTGCCCATTGTTTCTCGCCGGCACCTGGGATCGAACCCAGGACCACAGGATCACAAATCCAGCGTGCTGTCCGCTCGGCCGACCGGCTCCCCGGGTGAGTACATCTCATTTACTTCCCTGCCTAACAGCAAATCTTTCCAGTCAAATTCATTAAATAACTTTCTAAGTTTCCATAGTGTCCTCTCCTGAAATCAGGTTTTTCAATTGCTTCAACTTACTCATTTTCTTATAGATTATAACACATTGCTTACTTTATTCCCAAAAGGACATGGTCACTTTTGCCCAAGGGAGGAAGGTACTGAATATCAAATATCTGTTCCTTTTTTCTGGTGAATATCAAGTCCAGCATGGAGGGAACATTCCCTTCCCTCATCCTTGTAGCTTGTTTAACTTGTTGATACGTGAATGTCTCCAGGATGAGGTTTACGAATCTTCAGGGCCCAGAAGTCTTCTGTTCTAGCTTCATGTGTCTCCCATTCTATGGCTTTCAATTTGAAGTCGCTAACTACCAACAATCATGATCTATCTTTATCCACTCCTGCTATATTCCCTCTCATTATTGTTATGAGGCCCTTGTGTTTATTACCCAGCACCTATCCAGAACAACAATTTAGTGGGTTATTACTCTACATGATTTATTTATATATGCAGTATTGTACTGTAATTTAAATTGCTATTCTTTATTTCATCAAGTTTTTCAACAAGTTAAAATACATTGGTGTATACTGTATTACAGGAAAGAACTCATGTGTGTAGTGAATGTGGTGCAGCCTTTCACCGTCGACAAATTCTAACGAGGCACATGATGCGTCATTCGGGAAAGAAACCTCACGCCTGCTCACAGTGTGATGCAAAGTTCTATACTCGTCAGCATCTCAAGACACACATGGATAGACATAGTGGTTTCAGGCGGTTTCCTTGCAGTTCTTGTAATAAAGCTTATTATTCCAAGCATGACAGAGATACACACTACTCCAAAGTACATTGTAAAGTTGTTAGTGGACAGAAATCTTTAGTGGTTCACAAACAAAAATTGGAAAATGAGCATATAATTGAATAAGTTTTTATGAATGTACCTGTATATATTTAATTTATAAATAATTGAAAGAATTTTCCATATAGGTTTTGTAAATTACTGGTTATACAAAAACCTTCATGATAATTAGTTAAATAATTACACTTGCAAATCCAAATGAAATTATAATTTTATCCATTCATATTGTGAGATATTCTCATATATATCCTTCTTCATTTCTTAGTTTTTATGTTATCATTGGCATTTAAACAGGAACCACTAATCATGTTTATACTTTTCTTGCATTTTATATGCATGAAAAACAAAATACTGTAATGCACATTCATCCAAATGAAATTAAATATCAAATTTCTGTAATAGACATGGTTTTTGGTTGGATTAATGTTCTTAGTACAAGTGCTCCAGAAATTATCAATGATCAGTCATTGCTTGCTTGACAAGTTAACTTAATTTCTCTTTCCTGCAACCCTATTTCTTCCTCCTTATTTTATTTCTTATCCACCTCCTTTTTCCTATTCTTTTCATGCTCTTCACCTTTACCCCTCCTCTTTCTTCTGCCAACCTTTCCTGCTTTGCCTTTTCCTGACAATCTTTTTTTTTTTCCCCTATCCACCTTATCCTCCTGATATCTCTTCCTTCCATTCTACCCACTCATCCTTTCTCTATTCCATCTGTCCCATCTCCTTACCCATTTATCCTTATATTAATCCTCTGCTTCCTCCACTTCTCATTCACCCCTCCTTTACTCTTCCTTCCTTCCCTCTACCCCCCTCCTCCCTAATATTCATCTCCTCCCCTACTTACACATTGAGCTTGTGCTATTCCTACACTACTACTCAGATTCAGATTATTTATACCAAAGTTATGTAAATCGTTTCAAAGTTGAACAGAATGAGGTGCACAGACACTAAAATATATTTTATTTTAATACACGCTGTATATTGAATAACAAATAGCTTACAATTTGAGTGGTGATATATAGTGGGGAAAACATAGAATCAAATTTGAATGATAAGACTACAATAGTCTAAATGTAATATGAATTTATATAAAGTTGCACAGCTTACTTATTACAATGAACATAATAACAAAAAATATAATTAAGCCATATCAGCAGTGGGTTCACTGGCTAACCTGGATCAAACTCTGTGAACACACAAGAACATGTAATGGAGATCAAATTCAAATTGCTTATCAACAAGCCATATGTTATGTTCAGTAAGTGTAAACAAGTGCAATTTTGCAGGTACCGAGTCATATTGACTAATGAAATATGAACATTTGCTGTTCAAATGTGCCACTTGCTTTCAAAACCTATTCCTTTCACAAATTGCTTCCCTGTAATACACACAGCCTTATTTATATGGAGAGAAATGGGGTAGGTTTGTGCAGTAATAAACCCAACATTGTCAAACGTGACTTACAAATTGGTCTTCATGTCATCTCGACCAAAAATAGTAAACTTCCTTAATCTACATGCCTACTGGCCATAATGTACTAGGCTGAGGTCATTTGATAGAAAGGACCCCCCCCCCCTATATGGTCTTGATTGCCTTATCCTATTTAGTCTTCCATCATTTGGTTAAATGCCTCGCTTATAAGGGTAAGATGATGTGCTTCCATACCATTCCCTTACAATAACTAGAATACTGTATAAGAATTAGAGAGCACTACATCAGGGCTGTTGGCTCATACTAGGCAGGTCATATTTAACTCCACCCACCTCTCACACGTAGGTATCTCATCTATTATTGAAGTCTGTCTCAGTAATACTAGCTGGTAACCCATTCCACATTACTCTTAAACAGTATTTCCCATATGTTCCTCATAAATTGAAATTTCTCCAGCTTGTACCTATTGTTGTGGTTTTTGAGCAAAGACATAGTTTTAGAATCCTGTTTATATTACCCTTGTTTATGCCCTTAACCCACATGAAAACCTAGATCATATCTACCCTTGTCCTGTCTCTCCATGAGTATTTACCGAGACATTTTAATGTCTTCATAGACATCATACCTCCACACAAGGTATTAGTCTTTTCATCCTTCTCTGTATTTTCTCAAGTGTGTCTTATGTTTATTCTTATGTTCATACAGGAAACCAGACTACATTTTATTTAGTCCAATGTTAGATATAGCTAAAGGATAATATGTGTACTTCTGTTGTTGATACTTGTTATAATCATCATAAGCATAAACACCACAAAAATCCTCCATTCAGCTATACCTAACACTGGACTGAAAATGCAGTTTTGGTTGATGTATGAACATAAGACATTCCCAAGGTAAATGCAGCCTAAAATTAAGCCTAATACCTTGTATGGAGGACTTCTCCTATGAAGCACCCTGTTTGTTTTGAGCAATGATGCATTACTGTCTCTGCCGCTCATTGCTGCTAGCCATTACTCCCAAGTCTCGGAATTAGATTTATCCGGTACTGTACTATGACTATTACAGCACAGTATTGAAGTGGTATGTCATCCAACCTGTTCTCTCTATAGCATGCTGCATTTTGATGTGTACCAAGGCCAAAAATATGGCCTTAGTACACTGCAATCTGTGCAAATTGCAGGTAAAGGATAATATTCAGAGGTTGAAAATGGAAAACAGATTCACAGAAAATGAAAAGGAAATATGTAAAACATTAAAGACTTAATGAGAACACAACATTTCAACCACAAATGTGGGGGCATGAAAAGCAACTGTCTTAAAAACATAAAACTACACACAGCTCCATCATAAAAAATACTTGTCACTGGGGGAAAGGCATCACAGGAAAAATAATGGGAGAAGATATCATCATCAACAGACATCAGACCCATCCATAAATGAAATGGAAACAATTTGATGGCTATGTAGCACCATCAAATGTGCGGAATAATCAGAGGGCGCTAAATATCACTAAGGATACCAATATGAGAACAGAGACGCATAAGGCGAACGATATCAAAAGTATCCGATTCACCAAGAATTCTATCAAATGATAAAATTCCAAGAATTCTACCTACCATTTCTGTCTTCACCGATGGGTGAAGACGGAAATGGAGCGGGAGTGTGAAGAAAAGTGTTCAAGGAAAAGGTGTTTCAGAACTGTAGGAGGGGTAAAAGCTTTAGTCACTTTGGTCAGGGTTTTACAAAATTTAGGAAGGGGGACCCTCCACGGGGGAAAGGACAGAACAAGATGAGAAATATTGGTACAGTATTATTAACCGAAAGAGAATTATGTAGGCAAGTCAACCGTACAGAAAACGGGTGGTGGTGAAGGGGAACAGGAACCACAGGAGCAAAATTCAAAGCACAACATAGGCGAGATTGAGGGTGTTGTAAGGACTGTGCAAGGTAGCAAAGATATTAGCTATCACGGTAGTCCTGGAGAGACAGGACGCCGGTTTCAACATATAAGCTGAGGGTAGGAGTCGAACAAAAGGCATTAGAGCTAAGGCATAACCCAGTATGGTGCAGAGCATCAAGACAGTAAAGAGTAGGAGAAGCAGACGAGTAAGTTGGGCAGCCATAATCGAGTTTATACAGAACGAGAGAGGAGCGTGCACCTATTCGGTCCCCAAGAAATATGAGAAGACCTTAAGGAGGTTAAGGGCTTTAAAGCATTCAACTCGGGGGCAAGAGATATGGGGTGGCCAAGACAAATGAGTGTCAAAGATTAACCCCAAAAGCTTAGCAGAATCTTTATACACAAGGGGAGGACCATAATCGACAGAGAGGGACGAAGAACAATCTGCTTCCGAGTAAAAGTCAGCACAAGTCTTAGTTGTAGAGAAATTGAAGTCATGATTGGTGGCTCAAAACGACACGGCATCAATCGCAAGTTGAAGTCGTTGTTGAAGGAAAAAAAAAAAAAGTCATCACCCCGACAACAAAGGGCAAGATCATCGACATAGAGCACTGAGAAGATGCCAGAGGACCATTGAGGGCAACGAGGAAAAGAATAGTGCTACCCTGAGGTACACCTTCGTATTGCCTTAAAGAAACAGGGAGAGTGGTACCATGCCTCACTCTAAAGAACATAAGAATAAAGGCGCAGTAGTCACAATGAGAGAGGGAGCCACTACAGGGGACAAGGTGGTCACCATTGAGGGCCTGGGGCTCAACCCTACCACAGAGGGAGACAGGAGAGTATTTGGGAGGGTCAAAAATAGTAGCTTGGTCTGGGCCAATGTAGCGTGGGCTACAGAGCCCGGTCTTCCATCACAGTTTGACTCAGGGGCCTGATCGCCCACCTAACGAGCCTGGGTAAGAGATCAGTTCAGTTTCCATATATTCATTTTAAAGTCTGGAGCCTGGAACCAAGGGATACCACCTACCAGGGCAGCCAGGGAGGGAGGCCCAAGCGTGGCCCAGTGCATCGTCCCCAGCAACGCTTCCCCTTTTGAATGGGGGACGTCCTACTGCATCGTCCATTCTCTCACACTGGTGCAAAGACCCCATTCTCCTTCTAGCCCTAGCCATCCACTTAGGACAGCCCCTCACAGGGAACCCGTCCAGTAGGCGGTCCATTGACTCACAGACCCTACATGGTGTCCTACACGTACAACCCCCAAAGAGGGGCGAAGGCAACCCTCACCGGTCCCAGGGAGGTGTATATGAGCCCCCCTAACCCCAGAGGGATGGGGAGGGGAATGAAACGTAAGTTAGAGGAAATAGTGACCAACATAATTAGTGAAGACGGCAGCAGGAGCATAAGTAAGTAAGTAAGTAAGTAATTATCAAAAGAAGGCACCAAACCGGGAAGGCTATGTAGCACCATCAAATACGCAAAATAATCAGAGGGCGCTAAATATCACCAAGGATGCCAATACGAGAACAAAAACGCATAAGGCGAACGATATCAAAAGTATCAGAGTCACCAAGAATTCTATCGAGGGACAGGTGACCGCGAGGGGCGGTCGGAAAGCAAGACACACGCTCGTCCTGGAAGTCAGGACATTCAAGAAGGACATGCACGACCGTAAGAGGGACAATGCAACTAGGACAATAAGGGGCAGGGCGGCGCTCCATCAAGTGACCATGGGTTAAGCGAGTATAGCCAATACGCAACCTCGCCAGAGCTGTTTCCCACCTCCGGTTACGGTGGAGCAGGAGCATAAGACTTCAAAAGAACAGAGGACCGTCCCATGGAGCATCACCCCCCAGCAGCCACCTACCAAGCCCCCTCACGACGACAACGGGCTGGAAAGGGAGGGGGAATGAAATGGAAGCGTATGAATGGCAGACAGCCCCAGAACTACTGCCTTGCATTTTGCATCACAGCATTTCAGATATAAAAGGTACCAAGGATTAAATAAAACATTCAGGCATTTTATATTTATTATAAGTAGAGGCATATTGTGGCCTACAAGAACGCAAGACAACTATGTGGCAACTCAGCACCAAAAATAATGTAAAATCCTTGTACTGTACTCGTGAGGCTTGTGTGGTAGGATACAATCCCACCTTGTAGTTTTACAGAGAATCTAGCCATACAACATGAACCAGGCTGTATATGAAGGATCTGGGAAATGCAGTGTTAAGTGTTTATAATCATTGTTTGATGTTCATCCTAATGGGTGAAAAATGGATGTACACTTTTAATACCAATACGGCAGACTTAAATGCAACTTCTCCATAACCACTGCACTTCCTTGCTGACATACAACAGACATGTTAAAACTAAACAATCATGAATCTTATAATCTTGGATGTTCTAAACATTATCCCTAAATGCAAAATGTTTAGCAAACATCAATTCATCAAAGGTAAACTGTATTAACATGGCTCCTGTTGTAAATAGGTAATAACAATAAGCATGACAAATTTAAACACCTATTGACAGTAAATGATGATAACAGTCATATTTTGGTGTAAGAATGGCAGTCTCACAGATATACACACGACAAGAACTGTAAATATAGTACTGTACTACCAATCAAGTTAGTGCATAGCCATATATGACACTGCAATTTGTTCCGCCATCTGTACATATGCAAAGCAGAATTTTATTTCTGCATTGTACATGAAACATTTAGCCCTTGGAATGGAACCAGTAATGGAACACGGCAGGCCAACAGTGGTGAATATACACAATTAAAATCTTCAAAATGACTGCCTGACTGCACACACACAGGTTATTAACACCAATATTAACATCTAATACTGTACATTCAATACCTCTTGCCCTATGTTGATAGTCCTAGTAAAGATGGAATTACTTCGTACAGATTTTAACTTGTATAGCCTGAACAAATTACTGACTCTCAGGTCAAACCTGACCAAACAATATTTTGTAGGAATGTCTTTGAAAGAACAATGAGTGGAAGGCAGTGTAGGAGAGCAAGAGATGACCCAAAATAGAACAAAAAAGCTAGAAGAAAAATATTTCAGAAAAATATTATACATCATATATGCATATATATATATATATATATATATATATATATATATATATATATATATATAAACCACCTTCAATTCAAGAATACCAGATCACATTACTAGATTAAGTAGCTGTAAAGATAATGTTACATGCAGTCTAAAGGTAATTTAACAGGGAGGATAATACAAATAGTCATATTTATCTTTACTTCTTAAATTATACTAATGCTCTATTATCTTGAACAGAATTCAGCCAATCCTAAGCCCTATACTGTATTGACGTGTGCATAATCTTATGGGCAAACATTACGAGTGATTACACCTGACAATTTTTACAATGTGTTGTATACCATTACAGTATTGTCAAAAATACTGTATTTCAATTTTCACATTAAGAAAGAATGCATAACAATGGAAGGACCAAACTGGGCTGCACTATTTTTATCTTTCCTTTTTTTTTTTCCAAACTATAATGTGAATATGCATCCCAAGAGTCTCTGCTACTAAGAGTGGGATAACAACTCT